TGTGTGTGTGTGTGTGTGTGTGTGTGTGTGTGTGTGTGTGTGTGTGTGTGTGTGTGTGTGTTTTAGATTTTCCCCACAACAGCCCCAATTCCACCAAGGTGAATAGATTCAGAAAGATCAAACTGCTTTTCCTGAACAGGAAAACCATTCGCTATCTAGTATCTACCCAAGTACATGCCTGACGGATGGATGGATGGTACGTGCCGGGCACTGTTGATCTGGACGTTAAAGCACCACTACTTTTCCCATGTCGGCCTTGGGGGGTGGTCCTCCGATATTTTAGGAGGCCGAAATGAAACGACGGCCGCCGATGAGATTTATCAACGGCAGCCGTCGTCGGGCCCAGCCCCCAATTGTTTAGGAGTAAGCTATTTCCCGTTTTGCCAACAGCGGGAAAGGTAGTGGTGGTTTAAGAGGCTCGACCCTGTCGATTCCATTGTAGGCTGCTCCTATGAAGAGCACGTGCTACACACGTCAACTTCTCAAACTTAGCTCAAGTTTCATGAATGCATTGAGGCAACTCAATGCACCTCTCTGTTCATTACCATGAACATACTATGCCTCCTTACGGACCTTACCATAATATAATCTTTTATCTGCTGCTTCCAAACAGGGAGGTATTCTTTGCCTCCTCCTCCTTAGACAAGGGTCACAAGACCCATGCACCATCCATTTTGCGACCGTCCTTGCCTCTTCTGTCTCTTCGCACCAAGTGGATGATGACGGCATGACAACCCTGAAGCTATCTTCCTCTCTCCCTCTCTCTTTTACTCTCCTCTGCTCTTCTTCCTGATGGCAGGAAAACTCTGAAGCTACGTTCTCATTTCTCCTGTTCCTTCTTCTTCTCTTCTTCCCTTTTTAGTAAAAAGAAAAACTTGGGCCATTTGGTCCATTTCTCAATTTATGTGTGTCATCATTGCACAGGGGACAAGCTAATCTTCTCTCTATCGCTCCAATTTTAGCAGATGTCCCACAGGACTCTTCCCTTTCCTCTAGTCTGACATATTCCACGCTCCTGAGGCACGCATAACCTCCCTCAATTGAATCGGCTTACTTAGCCCCTGAACAGGATGAGTGTTAGACTGTCTAAGCTTCACAAGTCTGTCCTAGCTGCTGCTACTACCTCCTCAAGGTGTCTTATGAGTTGCCACTCAGAACCTCAAATTTTTCCCTGTCCTCTCTTCCAGCCCTCCACTTGAGTCATGCTTGAAGTCTCCATAAGCAGTCGCTGTCCCTCGGGAATAGGACAGGAGAGTACACAAAGGGCACCTTGCCTGCTCTTGCTCCGTTGATGCGGAACCTAAAACCCTAACAGACTAAAGGCCACAGTACTGCACAGCAAAAACATGTGTTATGACAGGTGTTGAAGTTGTTATCTTTGAGGACTGAAGATGTCTCCATGACAGGAATTCTCAAAATTTGTGCATCCTCCTTGCCACCTACCAATCATTAGGGTCAGATGCCACGTATGCCTATTCCTAAGCCCCAACCCCCCGAAACCCTAAACCTTTGTAGCAAATGAGCCGTTAGTCGCCCCTGGTTTCATCTGACTTCTGAGTATGTCCCTCGATAGAATAGCTGTGATAAGCTATCTAGAATAGCAACGATGTAAGCTATCTGGCTCCTCTACCAGGCATTGGTATTTGCAGTGGAGCCTGCCCCTATAGGAGGTCACCACGTAGTCGATTTCACAAACGTTGTGGTCGATGGAAGATTCTCCTTCGCACTTCAAAGTGGATCCAATGGCTTGCCTATCTCTATTTGTGTGGCCAAATTAGCCATTAGTTGCTGGCTTCTGGCTATTCTATGTCTGATTCCTCCACCAGGCATAGGTACGTACGGTGTGAAGTGGAGCCTGTCCCTAGAGGGGGCCACCACATAGTCCATTACACATATCGTGGCCTATGGAATGTCCTTCGCACTTCAACATGGGTACAGAGGTTCAATATAACATTATCACATGTGAACGTTGGAGGATTAAGTAATGAGGATTTGTTGCCGACTCCTGGGTATTTGTAGTAGAAGACTAGCTATGTCCGACGACTTCACCAAGCAATGGTACGAACGCTGTGCAGTGGAGCCTGTCCCAGGAGGGGCCCACCGCATAGTCAATTACACAAATATCGGGGCCAACGGAATGCCCTCCTTTGCACTCGAAATGGGTGCGAGGCTCCACATAACGTTTATCATGCATAGTCAATTACACAAATATCGGGGCCAATGGAATCCCCTCCTTTGCACTCGAAATGGGTGCAGAGGCTCCACATAACGTTTATCATGTATGGAACGTTGGAGGATTATGGTACTGACTTATGGGTATTTGAAGGAGAAGACTACCGGTAGCTATATCCGATTCCTCCACCAGACCTAGGTACGTACGGTGTGCCGTGGAGCCTGTCCCTAGAGGTTGCCACCACGTAGTCAATTACAAATATCGTGGCCTTTTGCACTTCAGAATGGGTGCAGAGGCTTCACATAACATTGTCATGTATGGAATGTTGGAGGATTATGGCGCTAGGATGAACACTGAAGTAATGAGCTGAGATAGCGTAGTGAAGTTGGCACATACTTTTCAATCAAAGTAGAGGGGTATAAATCAGGTAGCCTAAAAGCCTGTGCACTTACATACCTTAGTAGCACGGGGCAGAGGGAAAGTGTTCGTCGATTGGCAAAGTTGTTGTAGCATGACGAGGCTACCAACCTCAGGGCGGGGCCCTCTAGGGTCATGTTTCTATTATGTGAACTATTATCACATCAGTCACCATACCAGATAGCTGCAGTTTACAACTTATGCAGGAGAGGGGAGGTTTTCCTGAAGGAGAGAGTGACAGTGCAAGGGACATGCATCGTTGTCAAAATTTTCCTCTGCCAAAAATGTCCATATCGCGTATCGTAGCCCGAACTCGATCCTTCGTCGAAGGGTTCCTTCTCTTCTGAAAAGCCCCTACTTCCTAAAAAGTGCTGTTGTGCCGCTGTCTGTCCTTCGCAAGGGTCTATATCTGTGCCTGAAAGGGGTTTTACTTTTCCCTCCGTGGCCTAAGTGTCTGTCTTCCTCCTGAAGGCCCACTATCTCCCTGAGAGGCCACCCCTTTTCACTGATATTGTGGCCCCAACTCAGTCCTTCATCGAAGGGTTCCTTCTTCTGAAAAGCCCCTACTTCCTGTCTGTCCTTCGCAGGGGTCTTTATCTGGGCCTGAAAGAGGCTTTAGCCGCTTTACTTTTCCTTCCATGGTTTCTATCTGTCCATCCCTGGAGCCGCTCATCAATAGCACTCTTTCGTGTTGTCGTGTCAACAGTCCGGTGTCCGTTCTCCCTGGATATCAATCACATTCCTTGAGGAGTGAAGGTGGACAGTAGCGCTGGATGAGGGAAGACCTGCCAAAGCATGCCTGTCACGTCCTTAGCGCACATGCTTCACGACACTTCATTCATAAACAAAATGGCCTCCAGGGGTTAGACCACTGCGCCAACTGCCCCTGCACTGTTCATTTTCCTCGTCCACAAGTACCGGGCCAAAATCTACAGTTCCTGGGCCCGGAAGAGGTTCTGTGGGGAAGGGTACCGCAATTCTTTTTCCTCACAGCGACACTGAAGATTCTCGGCTCGGGGAAATTTATGCAGCTGTTGGTTTGTCAAAATAGGTCCTGATGAAATGGAGTGGTGGCTTAAGGTCATAAGTCTCGCAACTGCAAACCTGGCTCCAGGACAGGTACCTGCCCGCTGCCAGCCAATCGTCCCTTCTCCCGTTGGGCGCCAACTTGCTAAAAGATAATTAATAAGGAAAGACCCATGTGTGCACGGCAGTAGATATCGGAGACAAGGTGTCGTTGTCCAACCTTTATGCAACATATTAGCTCACCATAGTTCAGCACTCCCACCGAGATTCTCGACCCTCTCTTCTAGTATCTTATTGGTTTCGTAAAGTGAGTTGTTCACCCGGCACATACTTGATATTGTCGAATGCTGGTACTTGATCATCGTCACTTGCTCAGCAGATTTCCTGCACCGAATGGCCGAGAACAGGAAACTAAAGTCAGCATAAAAACACACTACATCGGGCAGGGCAGGAAGCAGTAGAAATGGGATTTGCTAGGCTCGCAAGGCCAAAAGTTATCGATACTTGATACTTATTATGGATTGAGTAGACCTGTCTGCTCCCACCAGTCTGGCAAATACATGGCGGACCTCGGTGTTTGCCAAAAAAAAGAGCTCTGTGAGGGACATTTGTGAAACCACCGTTTTCACCCGAATAGAACGCCCGATCGTTATAGCTGTATTTGGCACAACTTTCGGTCCAGATGCAGCGATAATGACCGGCCGTTCTATTCAGGTGAAGATGTTAGGAGAACTTCACTGCAATTCGTCACATTCTGTTTTGGTGGCGGTCATCAGATTGTGGAAAAGGAACAGGCTTGATGATCCCCGGAGTACATTACTACATTGGTATAATAAATTAATAATCCTAGAATTCACACCTGCTTCACGCCTTTCTCTTTGCATACATCGTCATGCAATGTACCTCTTCTTTAACTTAAGACAGAGCCTAGGATCGGACTGGAACCGGAGACCTTTCCCTTACCAAGGGAATGCTCTACCACCTGAGCTACGTGAGCTCACGGGGAAATTGGCGATGATCGGACGTGAACCGATATCTTCATACTTGCAAAACATGTGTTCTACCACTTGAACTACGCCCCCAACGGAAGGGAGGAAATGGGATTTGAAGTTTGAACCCATGATACAATCTTGTTGTATGTTGATTTAGCATACACAACAGGCTCCCCATCAGACCTGCTGCCATGGTTGCCTGAGAGGATATATATATAGAGTCAAACATGACGATATATATACACATACACACACACATATGTATATACTATATATGTGTTACATGCTGAGGCTGCACACGGGCCCCATTTTGGGGGCCGCACGCCCTTCGGACATGCGCCCTGGAGGCCCATGGCCGGCCTTAGGGCCACAGGATTCGATTTGAGGCAGCATTCATTTATTTGTTTATTTGCTGTCCTATTTTTGTCTGTTCCAGGCGTCGTCTCGGACTTGCAGTGCGTCCGAACAGACACACGGTCTAATCAGACGAAGGCCACATTTTGGGCCTTCTCCATTCGTGGCCAGGCCCTTTCGGGCCAGGTTCGTTTTCGTCTGGTAGCGGACACTCCCTGCTGCATCAGCAGGGAGGGCCTGGACATCCGGTAGGGACCCAGGCAGGCCGTTTCAGGCCAAGGACTAGAGGCACACCAGCGAGGCCCAGCACTACATATAGCTGGGCCAGGCCAGGGCAGACACAGTTCGAGTAGCTCACTTCGTGGGCGACAAGCTGCTGGAGCAGCGTGACACAGCGCTGCGCTAGGTAGAGGTAGAGGCGAGATAGGAGGTAAGAGAGGAGCGAGAGAGGAGGGAGAGAGAGGCGGAGGCCATACCCGCAGTTGACGGAGGACTTACCTGGCCACCGTAGCTGGGTCTTCACGCCAGCAACCTGCACGACAGGGGAGCGCCAGCCACCACCGACGGCAGGTGAGATTGGAGGCCGATATTCTTCTTCTTCTTCTTCTTCTTCTTCTTCTTCTTCTTCTTCTTCTTCTTCTTCTTCTTCTTCCTCCTCCTCTTCTTCTTCTTCTTCTTCTTCTTCTTTCACAGAGAGAGAGAGAGAGAGAGAGAGAGAGAGAGNGAGAGAGAGAGAGAGAGAGAGAGAGAGAGAGAGAGAGAGAGAGAGAGAGAGGTTACAGGCAGAGGTGACATTGGGCCATGAGGCCCAGGATCTGATTCAACATTTTGTGGCAGACATTGATTGGACATTCGGCAGGAAGACTATTTTTGGACTTCGATATTGCGATCTTGGTCTTCTCCCTCACCTCCAACTTCGTCTTGCCTGTCCCCCCCATCTCCTCATCCGTGGTATCTCCCCATGTGCGTGCTCAAGGAGGGACCTTTCTTCCATGTATGCGGTCCCTCCCCTCTCTCTCACATGTGTGGTGTTTGATGGGGTGTAATGTCAGTATCTGACAGGTCACGTCATATCTTTGAGTCAAAGTCATTGGTTTATCATAGAGATGATTTCGGGCAAAAGAAATTCCCATGGTGTGACGGGCGGTGTGTACAAGCTCTGAGTACATATTCACCGCGGCATGCTGATCTGCGATTACTAGCAATTCCAACTTCATGTTCTCGAGTTGCAGAGAACAATCCGAACTGAGGCAATGTTTCAGGATTTTCTCTGCCTTAAAGCCTTGCTTCCTATTGTCATTCCCATTGTAGCACGTGTGTAGCCCAGCCCATAAGGGCCATGCGCTACCTTATGCTATTTTCGTATGTATCTGTATGTACATTGCTTGTGGATGCTTTTGCTGACGCTGCATTGTCCATTTGAGTCCTTTTCATCACTTTGCGGATCCTTGGCTCCATATACGTCGCTCGATTGATATGTCTAACTTTCAGGCAGTATAATTCACCTTAACATTTTCCTACATGCCTACAGTTCACCGGGCAGTTCTCTAATGACGATATATAGCACGACTTGCTAGTTCCCTGCTACTGTTTTGTCCTCATCTTTGTGTTGTTTTTTAATCTTTACCGTGCGCTCTTTTAGTTCATAGTTATATACTATATATCGTCAACTTTCAGGCAGAAGAATTCATCTTAACATTTTCCTACATGCCTACAGTTCACCGGGCAGTTCTCTAATGATGATATATACGACGACTCTGCTAGTTCCCTGCTACTGCTTTCTCCAGTCAGGTTGAACAGTACTGGTTGCGGCTGTCACTGCATGGCCATGCTGTGCCTCTAGTGCCAACTGCATGTGTAGTTTCTGGTTGTGACAGACATTTCTTGTTTCATGGGGGTTCGCTTATGATGGGGTGTGAACCTGCAGTCCATAGAGTCTTCCTTATGGTGTGGGTGAATGATAGCTGCTTTGATTTTCGCTGCAGGTACCCTTTTGAGGGCAGTGGTTGGTGCTCACCTCAGGGTATCCCTTGTCCACTTAACCGCGGTTAGCTGCCTACCGGTAGCTTGAAGGAAAGCGGCATTGACTGTGGTTGGTGGACACTGAAGCTTAACTGCAATCGAGGTTAAACCACCTGTACCTCCAAGCCTCCTTTTCCTGAGGCGGATTTGCGCTGCGTACCAATGAACAAGGAACTGCCAGCACTGCACGTTTTTTTCCTTTTTCGCCTGGCTTGCCAGAGTCGCCGTCACGAGCCATTTCGGTCCTGTAGCGCTGTTCATCCAGATTCTTTGAATTGGATCGATTTTGATTCTCAAGTTGCCTGGGTGGGATATTGGCGGTTTAAGGTGGAGTATGACTTAACACCATCAGCGGTTAGGGGACTTTGCAGACAGAATGACTCTTACATGTCCCAGGCCACGAAGTGGCAGCGGTGCCAGTTCAATCTCATTCGATTGAGTTGGATCACAAAAAGTTTCAAACACAAAGTGGTCCCTTTGTTTCTCCAAGAGTCCATTTGGATGCTGACCTAATTTACTGTAGTCTTAGGTTACAGAAACGTTTGAATTAAATTCATACCATAAAGGCCTAGCGCTGGTGCCTGCGACTGTTGTCCGGTATATCCGAGGTAGGGCGAACAAGTGCCCCCGTAGGTGGGGACGCAGGGGTTACGTTAAGGACGAAGAACAAAGAGGTAGGTTGGGGTGGGTCCTGTGAGCATCCACAAAAAAAAGAAAAGAAAAAAAAAAGAGGATTTACTATTTAGTCTCCTAATGAATTGGGGAGACTCACTCCGATGAAACTCTCTTTCACAATGCCATTCACCAAGGAATCAAGGATCCATTTTGTATACATATTACATATGGATTCTTTTTGGAGGATGACATTTTGTCATGGTGCTTTTCTCCATTGCCTCATGGATTGCATTATGACTTCAGTGTCTCTAATGTACATGGACATGCAGATATCCATGTCTCTCTAGGTGCATTCTGACAAACACACCGTAAACTGTTATGTGCCTGATTGAAACAAGATACAGCATGGCATTCACACGTTCCCATACACATCCTCAACGACAAGAGATCTTGGAGAGATTAATCCACACTACACCGGATGAAAAAATACACAGCGGAAAGCACTTAGAACCAAAATTAGAATTGAACTTGATAAAATCTCATTAATACCATCCCTCTCCAGTTCAATCAGCATCACGAAATTCCAGGATCCCATCAACGTTATCAACACCCAAAAGCCAACTATTTACAGAGTTTCATCAGAGGAGGGAGACTTCTTCTTCCTCCCTCAAAGTCAAGCTCTGGCTATGGTGCCGCACAGCGCCCAACCTAACAGCACCCCAAGCGCTGGAACACCCTGAGCCCAAGCGCCCTGCCAGCCCCTTCTCACAACCCTGATCACTGAACAGGACGACCATGTCAACAGGGAACGCCAGCTCCCAAGGAAGAAGAAGAACACCACCACTTGATGAAGAAGAAGATGGCTGCCGCTTCGAAGAACACTTCAATGGGGAGCATCGATAGCAGCCTTGTCATAACCCCAACAGAACACAGAGGAGGAGGCACCCTTTAGTGCTCATGGCCTGTAGCCAATCACTACCCTCCAAACTAGAGCTGTCTGGCCTCAGCTATGGCCGACAGCAGCATCACTACGAGTGAGCCTTGCGCAGATGCAATCAGCACAGCAGCAAACGGCCGCGACCTCCAGCAGCACTTAGTGAGAAAAAATAAATGACAAGGCAGAACCCAGTTTCCTTGGACTTGCTAATCGTGCTGGTGTTTGTGGGAAGATCCAGAAAGGATCTGATCTGAAAGTATTTTATTTTTTCTGATCGGTTGGGCGCGTGGTAAAAGTGAACAAATGCTGTTTTGTTGTCGATCGCCGCCAGCAACTTCCCGAATGCCTACAGACATGAAGTACTGGTCTGCAATCTATCTTAACCTTTCTCTCTGACTGAGTACACAGCAAAGTGTAATTCTGATTAGTCTGTTGTTCTGCTTGTGAACACTAATCCAAATTTTATTTTCTTTATTTTTTTTCTGTGAAAAGAATTGTCGGGATGGGTGACTCCAAAGCCTCAGGCGGTTTTGGAAAAGGCAAGGACCCTGAAATTCCCCAAACCGCTCTGGAGCTTGGGATTGAGAAGGAGAGAGCAGCTACAAAAGAAACACGAAAGAGGCTTGAGCGGCTGCTGAAAGAGGAGGCAGAGAACAGGAGAACTCAGGAAGCGGTAGAGAGGGCTGAGTTCGCTGATTACTTCCTGCGGGCTGAATCTGATGAAATATTCAATGAGACCCACAGGAAGCTGGCTGCGTGGATCCGTTTGGAGTTCACAGCAGTCAGAGATGCCCGCACAGCCTGGATGGACAGGATCTCTGCGGTGGAGGACCGCCAGACCCAGATAGAGATCAGGCAAACCTCCCTCTCAGAGACCCTTGATCTCCTCCAGCAGCGCTTGCCTGCTCCTAAGCCCCCATATATTACTCCACCCAAATCTCCAACCCATTCCCATGCACCATCCTCCTCTGCCACAACCACCCCAGTCAGTACACCCAAAAGCCGACCTGCTACTCCTCCCAAGGAGAAGAAACCGCAGCAAACGGTTCCCTCTGGACGGGGACCTACGGGCTCATTTGTGTCTGAGCCCAGGTACCGCAAGGTGTCCCAGCCTGATTTGAGGGGCTTCACCTGTCCAGAGGCAGGTAAGGTGACAACAACAGAGGCCCTCATGGGCACAGAAATGGGCTAACTCTGAAGCTCACAAGTCTCAGAAACAGTTTGCTGACTGGGATGCTGCAACAAGGTTGGATGGGATTTTCCAGGGCCTCGAGACAAGGTTTGCAAACAAAGAAAAGACCCGAAAGGCTGCAGATGAGTTGGTTGGCCTTGGCCAGGCCAAATACAGGGGTTCACTGACCAAACTCTATGCAGAGTTTGAGCGTCTTACCTCCACTCCTGGCTTGTCCATGTCTAGAGAGGACAAGCTGACATGGTTCCTCAGGGCAGTGCCTGAGAAGTATACCACGGCCCTGCACACTGCAGGACACAAGGACTGGTGGTCCTTTGGCAGAGCAACCTTGGACATGGAGGCTGCACTTCATGTTAAGTCCATTTCCCAGAAGAGAAGCACCTCCTCTTCCCAGAGTTGGAAGCAGGGAAAGGGAGGTAACTATGCCATGGGGTCTGGTGATGACTCTGCAGGCACTAACTAGGGTAGATCAACTCCCCCAGCTGGTCAGGATGCAAGAGTATCCCCAGACCAGGCTGCTCAAATGCTCGCCCAGGCACTGAGTCAGGCACTGATGGTCCTTACTAGGGGCACTCAGTCCTAGGGACAAACGCCATTAGGTTCTAAGGGGTCAAGCAATTTTTTTTCTTTTGTACTGGCCCTTAAGACGCCCTGTCCCGAGCCTACAAAATTTCAGGAGAGGCTCAATCGGAATATCAACTTGGGTGGGGCCATGTAAGGGTGGTTTAAAGACTCTAAATGCCTTCACAGGCAAGCAATCCTTTTGCTATATTATATGCTTCTGCCTCGTGAAATCATGGACATCCATGTGGTGGCTAAGCTTACACAACTTCTAAATTATACTCGAACATGATCGGCAGCATTAAATAACAGGGACCAGATTGTGGAGCTCTTCCAACCTGCAGATTGTGAGAAGACGCAACTGAGCCACACCCATGGGCACCCCTGACACAGATCCGTAATGCATCATGCAAGTGTGATTGTGAAGAACACATGGGTTGAGGCAGAAGAAAGGCAGAGGAAGAAAATATCAGAAGGGCAGGAATGTGTTATTCAATCAAGCAACTCTCTCTCATATCCCACTGGGCTCAGTGGCACCAGTCTTGTAGTAGACTCAACGCATTGTCAGTCCGAAGGTTTTTTGCACTTTTCTAAAATCCTGCGGGTGTATATACTATATACCTTTCTCGACCTTTTGGCTAAGATCAAGTGTAGCATTTGCTCTGATCAGTTTAACCCACCAGTACTTGGCCCATACATCAGCCACGGGCGTTTCCCGTTAACGCGCCGCGACTGATGGGCTTCGGGCTACTGGACCTCAATGCCTGGACGCGCCAGCCAACAGGAAACCGAAACGACGCGGCGGCGGCTCAGCAAAACTTGGGGCGCAGGGCGTTTCCGGGCTCGGCATCAATAGCTGGGCCAAGTACTGGTGGTTTAATACCTGATCCATGGTCCACATGATATTATTTTATTTTTTTTCTGGGCCACGGAGGGGTCACACGGTTAAGCTTGCTTACTCGACCCCTCCAGGAAAAAAATAAAAGTTAAAAATAAAAAATCATGTGGGCGTTATGAGGAGGCTCTGGGTATCTTTGACAACTAGCTGCATATTTTGGGCGCACTAACCTGTGGCCAAAAATGGGTGGGTTCCAAAAAAAAAAAAAAAAAAAGAAAGGTGGTTCAGCAAACCAGATTAGCTCAGTTGGTTGAACACGTGATGAGTACACAGGAGGTTGTGAGTTCAATTCCCCACGACATCCATTCGGCTCCCCGGGACCCTCTATGTGATGTACTTCGGGTTCACTGACTGAGAAAAGTTGGCTTGTCTCTCCTGGCAGGTTGTGGAAGTGTTCAATGTCACTTTCCATCCCGCACCAGGTGATAGGAGCTCGGGTGCTGCTTCCTGCACAGAGCAGACTTAGGTAGGCGTAGGCCCATAACTTTAAGATAGCTTAGACCTAGTCAGCAGATTTAAAGAGCCCTGGACCCGAGATTCCCTCGGAGTGTGGATGGGCCCTTGTTTGTCTGGGGTAGGTGATGCGAGGTAAGAATCCGGTTGTTCCCTTGCTTGCCTGGGGTAGGTAGTGTGAGGTATAATACTAAGAGACGATGATAGCATAGTTAAAAAAAAAGACGAGGATTGGATGTCCATTTATCAACTGCCCTAGCTCAGTTGACACAGCCCAGAACTGTTGAAATGCAGACCTGAGTTCGAACCCCGTGGAAGCAGATGAGTAAAATAGTTACAATTCTTTTTTTTTTTTTTTTTTTTTTGGGGGGGGGGGGGATAGTTACTATTCTGAATTACCTAGGGTCGGTCAATGCAATGAGATCGCAAGGTCGTCGCTGAATGTTTCATGGGAAGCTGGACCCGGTTTCCAGCACAATCTTTATTGTCATTTCATGTGAGGATGGACCCAATTTGTAGTGCATTCTAGTGCATTCATTATATTGGACGTTGGACCAGAGCAGGTGTTACTTTCCATCCATATATTGAAAGAATTGTTGTCAACAGAAAAAAAATTCCCACAAGAAATGTAAGACTAAAAACATTTGATTAAAAAAAAACAAAAAAATTCCCTCATCTTTAAAAATTATCATTCCAACCTGGAAAATCTCCTTCCAATTCTTAAAGTATATGACAAGTTTCTGTCTCAAGATAAGTTTTCCCTTCCAACTACGAAAATATGTTGACGTTGGAATGAAATTCTGGATGAGTTCATGAAATATCTTAAGTTCGTAACTAGTATTTCATAATTTTCATTCAATTATAACAAATTTCTTCCAGTTTTAGATTGAATCGACTCTTTCTTCGATTGGGACTTCTTAAAGCACCACTACACCATACATCAGCCCGTGGGTGTCGGCATGAAACCCGCACCACTTCGGAGGCCGATGATTTCTTTTTTCAACGGCGCCCTGTGCTGCGCGGCCCCTCTGTTTTTTTTTTTTTTTTTTTTTGAAAAAAGGACGATTTCATTATATGTTAGGAAATGGGCCCAGTGTCCCTCACATCATTTCCACGGCCTAAGGGGAGAGTCGGGCTCTCCAGCCAGGCTTAACTCCAACCGCGACAGAAAACTGATATTGGTTGGCTCTATGCCCTTCTTATCATCCAGTCGTCCCTCTGTGAGCTCTTTACAGTGGATACACTTCTTCAACTAACAATCAACTGACCATCACAATGATGTATAACCAGGTACAACTATGTCCTACTCTCAACAGCAATCAGCGCATAACTACAACTATGAACAAGTACGAAGAACAGTGAAGAACCACGTACGACTATCTACCTCTCTCTATATAAGCTATCCAGCACCACCCACACCTGTCCACGACTGTCCATTACTATTTGTGACTGTTTCCATGACTGTTTCGACAAAGTTGTACAAATATCACATACCATTCCCAACTATCTGCAGCCTTGTGCTTGTGCCGACAAAAACTTTCTGCAAGGCTGGGGCCGTGTACTTGCAGTTTATGATAGTTCAATTAAAAATATTTGACATTCGTTCCATGAAAGCCCATTTTTGGAAGGAGACTTTCCAAGCAGGACAAAAATTTTGAAAACGGGAAGGATATATATATATATATATTTATATATATATATATATACTGTTTGTGACGATATATATATATATATAAAGTTTTAACAGTACAATAATTTCTTATTATAGAATAACTTTTAGTTTTGGAAATTTTCTTTTGTGTTGTTAAATAGAAGTCTSCACTTTATCAGCCACAGGACCTCCTCCGTGCACGCACGGATTCGAACCGGCGCCCTCAGCCTCAAGAGCCGAGTCTCTTAACCACTACAGCCATGGCACGGTGTACAAAAGTGGATCCATGCCGGTCGTGATATCCACCCCACCCCTGCATGGCTGTAGTGTCCTTCAACTCACACACACACACACACAACACCACACAAGGCATCGGCCACACAGGCAATAGTCGCACACTCCGCTCTCATCCAGCACAAGTGCTTATCCAACGGTTTTATCCATGGGCCACCACATCCAGGTATAATTTCGGGGCTGGTTACCCGGTTAGAATACAGTCTGCACTTTATCAGCCACAGGACCTCCTCCGTGCACGCACGGATTCGAACCGGCGCCCTCAGCCTCAAAAGCCGAGTCTCTTAACCACTAAAAAGCCAGGACAAAAAAGACAAACGCAAAAAGAGATTGGATGTAATCGCAGTTCAACACATTCGGAGATAGAGTAAACATAATGTCACATTATAGCAGTTTTACAGTTTAAACTTACTTTTCCAAAATCCTGATCATAACATCCTTTCGCCGTATTTCTTCAGATAGCTCCTCAATGGCGTCCTCAAGTTCCTGCAGCTTCTCGTCAAGTGGCTTGGAACATTCTGAGCAGGTTGCATGTCCTTGCCTCGATCTTCTGTTGCAACACAAAAATTTGAAAAAGACATGAATGTCATGTAACTCATGTGTGTTCAGAGCGTCCGGAAAGAAAAGAGGAGAAAAAGAAAAGGAAGGACAAATAAAAGAAACATTGTTATCCTAAGCGACATCCATTAAGGTTGGAATGACACAGAGAAAGGAAAGAAAGGAAGAAAACAAAAAGAGTGGAGAGGGAAAATTAAAAATAATTAAAAAAAAAAAAAAAAAACACGAAAAAATGCAATGCCCAAAGCACATAAAAAACAAATGGAATTTTCACATAGAAGGGAAGCAGAAAGAAAAAAACTGAAAAGGATGGCATTTCGAATGATTATGGCTCCACTCACCTATCAGTGCGCTCTGCACACCGGCGCTTTGTGGCTGAATTGTCTCCAGTGGGCTCCGGAGGGTTTTGTTTACAGTGGCGTCCTCTCAAGGAACCTGTAGAAATGACAAAGACAAATACTGTTACAATCGTTTTCGCATTGAACCACCAGTACACCCGAGGGTAAATGTACAAACCTAAAAAGGCCCTAAAAAAAAATTTAAATTTTGTGGAGCCTGGAACCGACGGTACCACGGCAAGGAAAATCAAGGGTGGTACCAGTACTGACCGGTGCGACACTGAGCTGCTGGACCTGCAGCCTGCAGATGGAACGAAAAGTCGGTCGTCGTTTCCACTCATGTGCCAACCCAGCCAAACACTCCACGAAGTGGGCCCCTGTACCTGGCCTGGTTTGATCACCCGATACAAGCTGATTAGAAAAGAAAACAAGAAAGGAACCACACGGGCCCCTGTCAGGCACTTTTCTGAAAAGGGAGACGAACTTGAGATACAGTCCCAGGTGACTCAGAAGTACACTCATCTGCTTCCAGTTGTTACGATCCTGGCCAATTTCGAACTTCACATTCATGAGAAAGGACAATGCCGTCCAATTGCAAAAAGAAATGAATGAACTTGAGAGGAGAGAGATAGAGGGAAAGAAGAGGAAGAAGATGAAAGAAAGAGGAAGAAGAAGATGTACACCAGCAAAGATCAATGCTAATTCCCTTCTTCTCGCCAATTACCCTCCTCCTCCTTTTCTCCTCCCCTCTTATTCAAACAATAAATAACAATATAATGTTGACCGGCTGAACCAGAATCAATGTCTGAATCCCTCTTCTACTGCAGGCACAACATGAGGTCCACCATAGCCATGGCCACCCTTCTTCTTCCTCTTCATGTAGGCCAAGGCTATGGCTGACTACTAGGGGCTCGCCCTGCTGGGCAAAGGACAACACAAAGCAGCTATGCTCGCTGCTGTTCAGGCTGCCATGCCTGACTCCGCCTTGAAGCCTTGTTGGTGCGGCGCAACCCCGACCGGGGCCTTCCAGATGCTGCGCCTAACAAGGTGATGAAGATGGTGCCTACCATAGCCAGATAGGTACCTCACCACTCTCCTCCCCAGTCCTCTTCTTCCTCCTCCTACTGGTAGAGCCCCACCATAGCCGAGGTGGGAGCTCCCAGTCTCCTTCTAGCAGTGTTGTAATGCCCAGTGCTCCTCCAACCAACGCTCCAAGCAGTGTGTCGCCAAACTTGCACACCGGCGTTGGGTTACTAGACATAGCTTTTGACTCAGATTCTGGTAACCCTTGACCCCAGGAGCTTTCTCAGACATTTTTGAGGCTTGGGACGTGACTTTTGACCCTTGTTTTTGGCCTGGGACCAAAAGAGACGACCCTTGCTCGTGTCTGGGAAGATCTCAACCGGGTCTATTACATTCCATCTGGCCAGATTTCCAGTTCCGCCGCAGAAATTTTTCTTTCAAACACGATTTTCTTGTAAACCACGTTGATATGCAGCAACCATCTCAGGGACAATAGGTAATAGTTCTTTCTTGCTGAACCATCTTGCTTCAGATTTTGGCTGGTTAGAGAACTTTACCTTATACTGCTTTTGTGGCCTTCCTCTTCCACCGGTAGAGAAGAAGCCATGTTCGAGAATCTTTTCAACCTGATACCCTCTGTCCATTGAAGGTGGAAACATTGATGGTCTGTTATGAAAATCCTGACCTTCAACGAGGGTAACAATTTCGATGCATGGAAAACAGGATATGTCTTGAGGTGTGGGGGCACATCTATCCGATAGGATGGTCCATTAACGTCCCCGACCACTTTCAGAATTTCCCATGGCCTGTAGTAGACAGGTAGCAGCTTCTGTGAAATTCCTTTCTTCCAATGAGAATTCATTAGACTTAACCCACACCAGATCCCCTTCTTTGAATTGTGCAGGTCTTCGATGCTTGCTAGCTTGCTCTATCATCTGGTTTTGAGCTTTTCTAATGTTTTCTTTAGCCTTTGAAATGTCTTGTTAGTACAAAACTTTGAACTCACGGGTGCATGGGGGCAACCTTTGAATCTGCTCCCTTGTCAGGGAGTCCATAGGCCTCTTGGGTTGCCATGCTTTGTGTAGTGCGTTAGGTGTTCGTCCTGTGACCGTATGGACACTGTTTTTATATGCACTCGCTTGGGTAAATTTTCATCCCAATCCACTTGGTAGGTCTTACATACATTCGCAGAAGTTGTTGACACAATCTATTCATTTGTTTAGTAACTTTAGTCTGTCCATTTGTCTCAAGGTGCCTACCTGAAGACATGGTCGGTCGTATGCCATTGACTTCCATTAACTTCTGCCACTGCTGCCCGGTGAACCGGACATCCCCATCGGACACAATGGTCTTAGGAAATCCGTATTCAGAGACCCATCGCATATGGAATTTCTGAATCACTAGTTCGGTTTTAGCTTCAACTGGTAGAGGAATGAACATAGCATACTTTGAGAAACGATTGACTATGACCATGACTTGGCTATTCCCATTCTGACTCGGTGAGACTCATGAAGTCAATGGAGATAGACTCACTTGGTCCGTTGGGGATAGGAAGTGGTATGAGTTGTCCCAGTGGATTCTTATGGGACGACTTGTTTCTCTGGTGCACAAGATAGGTTATCACGTAGTTTAGTACATCTTCTTTCATTCCTTGCCACTCAAATTGTTCTCGAACATTAGCATAGGTCTTCTTGAAGCCAAAGTGACCTTCAGTGTCATGACATTCACCCAAAATTAAGCTTTTCATTGCATCATCATGGGGATATAGATTCGTTGCTAATCTTTGTCCAACAAGAAGAGAATGCCATCAAGCATCTAATAATCTTGGAAGCAATCAGGGTTTGTTTTCAGAGATTGGATTATAGGCTGCCATATTACCCTTCTCTGATTTTGGCTTTCAGTTCGTTTCGTATATCAAGATAGGTAACAATAGTTCCGAAGAAATCAGATCCTCTAGAAAGAGCGTCAACTACTATATTGTACTTACCTTTGATGTTTTCAACTCAAAGTTAAAGGTGTTTATGATAGTGGACCATTGTACTAGCTTGTTAGTTAGTCGTGGTTGCGTCTTGAGCCACTTCAATGTTTCATGTTCTGAGTAAACCTTGAAGTGTCTTCCCAACAGGTAATGCTTCCATGTCGTTAGAGCTTGTAGCGAAAGCAAACAACTTTCTCTCATAGGTGAAGTTAGCCACCTTCTCAGAGGCTACGCAGCAAGACATAATCTCAATAGGTTTATACTCTTTCCCATCATCTTGCTGCAAGAATGCCCCTATCCCATACTGACTTGCGTCAGTCGTGACGACGAATGGAAGTGAGGGATCAACAATCTTGAGAACAGGGTAATGAGTCAAAGCATATTTAAGCTTCTTAAATGATGACTCACTATTTGTCCCATAGCCAAATAGTGTCTTTCTTTAGTAACCTCCTCATTGGGGCCGCTATACCAGAGAAGTTCCTTACGAACGTCTGGTAGTAGCTTGCCAAACCCAAGAAGGAGTGCAATCCAGTTAGATTCCTTGGCTTAGGCTAACCTCCGATCGCAACAATTTTCCTTTCTTCTAGCCTGAGTCCATCTTCATTCACTACATGTCCAAGATAGAGAACTTCAAACTTAGCAAATGCTGATTTCTTGGGGTTCAGTTTGAAATCACCTTGGCGTAACTTCTGCAAGACCATTCGTAGTTAATTCTCGTGGTCGTCCAACGTCTTACTGTAGACGAGGATGTCATCGAGATAGACAACTACGAACTGATCGAGCCACTCACAAAAACGATCGTTCATTGACTGTTGGAAGGTTGCAAGGGCGTTAGTCCAAAGGACATAACCACAAACTCAAAATGACCATACCCGGTTCAAAACGTCGTCTTGTGTTGATCCTCAGGGGCCACCTCAATCAAGTGGTAGTCTGACTTCATATCAATCTCACTAAAATACTTGCAACCCTACAATTGATCAAGCAAGTCATCAATCTGAGGTAGTGGTTCTGCATTTTTGACAGATACGACATTCAACCCTCGGTAGTCAATGCATAGTCTGAGCTCACCTTCCTTTTTAGGCACAAAGAGTATGGGTGCGTTGTAAGGAGAGGAACTTGGCCTAATCCATCCCTTCTTTGTATGTTCCTGCAAATGTTTCTTTAGTTCTTCCAATTCCCGCGGGGACGTACGGTAGATCAGTTCTTTGGGAATCTTATTGCCGGGAATAATCTTGATTGTGTGCTTTATAATTCTTTCGGTTACTCCCGTTGGTTCGGCTTGCAAGTTCTTATATTCATCAAGACGTTTTCTCAATAGAAAGAGGAAAGGAAGTAGAGCAGTCACCCACATTCTTTACGTTACCATACTCCGAAAGGCGGGTAAACTCGTACAATAGAAAGATAATGATGAGTACGATCCAAACTTATAAAACAACTTGATTGATTTCATTTCTTCACTTTCTTTTATCCTTACGATTTTATCTTTGAGGTTGACTTTGGGGTCAACTTCCTCGTGCCAGTCCTTTCTGAAAATCAAGTCAAACGACAACTTCTTCTCCACGAGGGAGGTTACTTTATGCAATATTTTCTTTCCTTCCTTTGTCATGAGGTAGCATTTCACTTTGTCTACATATTGAGACACCGTGATGGTACTTTAATCAGCAAGCATAGACGTGATAGGGTTGGGTAGGTCCTTTACCTTCATTCCCAAGTGAAGCTTCTTTATTGCTTGCTCATAAAAATAGGACCTCGTTGACTGGATCAAGCAAAGCACCAACTCATGTCCTTGCAATTTCCAGATCCGCGATCATTAATTCACCCTTAGACTTTGCTTTCTTAGATCCATGTGGTCCTGCCATACCTTATGGGTAATTCCCATTTCCCCCCAAGGCTTCCGAGCGGCTATGCCAGGATGTCCTCTTCTTCAGTCCATTTCTAACTGCGCCTCCCTTGTTGGGCGCTACAGGAGTGACGTCACCTTTCCAGACTCGTTGCTGCTAGCTTGCTCACCCTCGTTTCCCTCGAGGGCCCCCCTCTCCATCGTCTCATCGTACAAAACAACAAGGAGGTGGTCCTGTCGTTTTTGTGTCCACAAA